TCGAGAGCACAAGCGTCAATCAAGTTTATCGTTTCGTCGTCGCTCAACTTGCTGCGCTTCCGACCACCATTCTCCGACTCGTGTGCGCTTGCCGCGTCGCTGTAGGCATCGACTTCAGCGTCAGCTGGATTACTTGCAAGCTTTCCCATCTTCACTTGGACGCTCAAGGCGTCAACTTTGCGCTTCTTCCCCGAGACGTTCTCTTTCTCGACCAAGCCGCCCGCTGGCGAAGCACGCTTGATCCGCGAGCTCGTACGCTGGGTACGAGAGTCATCTTGCGGTACTGGCTCCTCTGGCGCCGGACTCTCAGTTCTAGTTGGCAGCAGCGTCGATGCGCAGCTCAGGCTTGCGCTGCTCTCCTCGATTTGGAAGGTACAATCCGCTTCCGTGCACCCGATGACGATATCGTAGTCTTTGCTTTGCAGTCTCTCTCTTACATCCCTCATGATCTCAGAAAGTCGGCCAACGACATCCATCAGGTCGTCTTGGATGTACTTCCTATCCAAGACTCTCGACAAAACCGCGCATGGAAAGCTCTTGCGCTCTTTGCTACAGCCGCTGATGATGGAAGCCTTGAGAGCCACGATCTGATCCTCCTGGATCAACGAGTCGGAGCACAAGGTAGAGATCGCACGTCGCATCATCGCCTGGAACCTTTTTGCCACTGGTTTTCCCTCTGACGACCAGCGAGCAGGATGACAAATAGACATACGTGAGTGCCGGACCTGCAAATCGATCACATGTGCAGCAAGATCCGACCCAGACTGATTGAACTGACCTTCTCGCCCAATACACGCAAAGATGTCTTGCCACCCCAATGGCGAGGGAGACATGCCCTCTAATGCCAGCTGATCCGGCGCCATGCTGACGAATGGCACACAAACTTTCGAATGCAGGCTAAGGTACACGCTGGATACCAACATTCCCTGCAAGAAAGTTCTTTTTCGCAAGCTCGGAGACAAATCAGCTTGGCACTCGTTCTGCCCACGCGCCCCGCATGAACTCACGCGCTTGGCGCCTTTCAAGCCATTGATCAGATTAGCGACTCGATTTATGAAGAGCTCTAACTTGAGGTCCACAGTGTCGACTTTGCGTCTGAGCTCCTGAGGAGTCACTTCCACGTATTGGGCGCCACAGGCTGCAAGCAGCTTCCCTTGCTCTTCTACCGTCGACTCGGCATTACGCAGATCTTCTCGGCAACGGCGAAGCTCACTTTGACACAGTTTCAGCTCTTGGCGAAGTTGATCAGACGCACACTGTGCCTGATGGACCTCGTCGTGTCGAGAATGGCAGAAGAGGTCCAACTGTCTCTTGATCTCCAAGATCTGTGGGTCCTTCGCAGCCGAGCGGCCAGAGGACCCGTGAATCGTTGGCGTCAGCGAAGCATCGCGACAGGGGCGAGTATGCTCGCTCCTGCTGAACTCAGAGCACTCTGAGCACGAGCTGCTTACAGCTACTCTTCCTGTGTTACGCGTTCTCATCGTGACGATGAGTGCGAAGAAGGTGCACGAATGGAAGAGCTTAGGGATGGAAGTCGGAAGTGCTTCTGCAAAGCGTGTGCCTTTTACAGACGCCAGCCTTGACTTGTTGGCAGCCGATGTTGCTTGGTCCGGACTCGACGCTCAGCCCCTCAAGCGCCATCCTTAGGAGGCAAAAGCTCTATTCCGCGGTCTCGAACAAAGATAAGATGGCTTTGGGCGGCCAAATGCACTCGGCAGCGGCTACTACGAGCTGAAAATGCGTTTGCTGCGAAGTTGGGCTCGCTGCGGACGATGGAGCGCTAGGCCTGCAATATCCTCATCCGTCTGACAGGAACCAAGGTCATCACCGCGTCTGAATTTGCGCAGACAAGGTGACAATATCGAGCGTCCCAATTCCCCTGCACTCATTAGGCGAATGCTCAATCTATGGATCGGCCAAGTGGGCAATCGTGTCTTAGATTACGCGGCAAGCTTGCAAGCCTTCACTTGCGGCCTGACAATTCAGGGAAATGGGAGGGCATGCCACCGTGTCGGAAGTCAAGAAGCAAGAAGGAAGAACGGCATCCATCAGAGCCGTACGGTTTCAGGCGCGATGTTGGTGCAAGACTAGATCAGCTTTACTCGCTGTTTCTGCGACCGCAGCTCCAGTTGAAAAGGCGCTAAATGAGCGCACTCACAATCGACGTCAATATCACTTGAGCTCGCGCGTCCGATCTTCCTTTGAGCTCCCTCAGTCAGTGCAGATATCCATCTATCTACCATCCACCGTCGCGAAATACTCTGCTTACTTTCCACTCCCTATAGCTCTGTAGCGTGCTCAATCACACATCTCACGGGTGTCCAGGACAGACATATCCGTCTTGACATCCCACTTACGTGCACAGTGGGTCTCTGCTGCCTCAAATTTCCAAAATGGCCACATTGCAGAAGGCGTACAAGGGCCCCAGAAAGCTGGTCATTAGCTTCGATTTTGGCACTACGTACTGTCAGTCCTGTTGCTTCGCCGATAATGAGGTGCGCGCTTTGCCACTATATAGTGCTAATTTGGTCCTATTCAACATCTTCTCTTCAGCTGGAGCCAGCGCCTGCCTTCTTCAGCCGGGATCAAAACCAGAGGTCAGGCCAATGCTCGCGTGGTCTAGCGAAGGTGAGTGCTTCTGACGGTTCGCCGTGCCAGGACAATGCTGATAACTGACATTATTACATCAAAGCGCGAGGCGAAGCCAAATTTCCTTCCGTCATCTACTACGCTCGTTCCAACAGAGCAGTGCGCGGATACGGCGATGCTCTCAATGTAGAGGGTCAAGATCTCGCAGACGCTTTGCATGATGGAGAAGTAGAGACGGCGAGCCTGTGGAAGCTCAAGTTGTGCGCGCAATAGATTCGGGTCCGACTGGCTTGGTCGTAGCTGCTGACGATGACAAAGTTCTTCGGTCTCATAGCAAACCTGACCACATAGAGCTTCAAGGTATCGTCGATCCAGCAGACTTGGTCAAACTTCCAACCTATAAGAGCGCGACAGAAGCCACAGCAGATTTTCTACGTCTGGCTTACAGGGACCTCATGGACTATATCAAGTCACGCAAGACCATGGAAGGGCTTGCGCTTGAACAAGGCGTAGACATTGAGCTTGTACTCAGTCATCCAAATGGATGGGAGGTGCGCACCCTTTCTGTGTAGATACTCAGCCCAACTGCTGACGTTCTCAATTGATAAAATACAACACACAGAGCATTCAGCAAACGGAGATGAGAAAGGCGTGTGAGCTCGCTGGCGTGACAAATGTGCCACAACATCCCGTCAATATCACCTTCATTTCCGAAGGAGAGGCATCACTCCATTATATGGCATCGCAAATCGAAGAAGGAGATGTCACGGTCATTGTGGATGCCGGTGGTGGAACTATCGACATTTCGTAAGCCCGCAAGAACTTGTCTGAACTCTTTAAAAGCTCGTTCTCACAAATCCTCGCGCCTACTATCTTCCCAGAACGTACCATCATCATAAGGGCCTGTTCGTTCAAGTCGCTTTGCCTGATTGCATTTACGCTGGTTCTGCCACACTAGACACCGCAGCTAAAGCCATCATAGATGATCTAATTGAAGATCGAAGAATTCGCGAACACGCTTACGAGAAGTGGGTGAAAGTGAAGCATCTGCTCAAAAATAATGCGAAGGATCATTCATTGAGCGTCTATGTGAACGAGGACACTACCCCGCCACCAGCCACTGATCACGACGGAACCTTGGCGTACGTGAAGAATGGAAGCCTGGTTCTCACGAAGTGAGCTGCTCCAGCAACAAGACAAGCGACCCAAGCAAGCTGCTCGCTCATACTTCACTTCACAGGGCTGCCATTCGACGGATCTTCAGCGCTTCTATCGACAAGACGGTCTTGAGCATCCTCGAGAAGATCCGATATTGCATGGAAAAAAGCAAGCTGCGAGTCAACCGCGTGGCGTTTCTCGGTGGGCTTGGAGACTCGCA